CTACGTATTCTATATATATAGTTATTTAAAACTAAAATTAACTAAAATATTATTTTAACTATAGAAAATAACAGTTTTAATAGAATTTTTAATAAAAAATATATATTCTTTTTATATAAAATTAATAAACAGGACCTTTTAATATTATTAATAATATATTCTTATAGTCGATTAAAATAGTAAAGTTAATATTAAATTAACTATAGTTAACCTAGCTTACCGTTTACTATATTTAATAAAGATTAATAGTCTTAATACTAAGTACAGTTAACTTAGATTAACTATTTAATTTTTAGCTTAACCGTAGTTAGATATAGAAATTCTATTAACCTAACCATAACCTAGCGGTTAGGTATAACTGACCCCATTAACCTAACCTAACCTGGCCAAATGCCAGTCTATACTTTACTAAGGTATTCTAGCTATAATATACTAGAATATAAAATTACTTAGTATTCTAATTGTTAGACTATTTAAATTTTTTATAGAAATATATATTTTTCAGTATTTTGAATAGCTTTATTTCTAGGAGGTATATAAAATTCTAGTATAGTAGCCACTCGCCCAGGATGGCCGCTTACCCGTGGATTACATTAGTTAAGTTTCTAATATTATCTATAGCAATAATACATTTTCCTTTAATTAGGATATTTCTATCATAAGAGGCCCGCCCGGTTAAATCTAGAATACAAATATTTTCAAACAGGATCTTTAACAGATCCCCCGGTTTATAGTTATTCATCGTAATATTAGTAAAAGTAGACCAATATAGCTCAACAGCAATAGATCCCATAGCTAAATATTATTTTATTTAAATAAGAACTTGGAAGCTTTAGCAACCAAATTAGGTCGCATTTATTTAAGTATCAATCGAATTTTAATTACACATCATTACAGAAATCAGGCAGAGTTGCATTTAGTTACATTAAATAGTACAGGAAGATCGCCTCGACACGCAACACTAACTCCACAACGTACATAATATTAAAAATATTTCCGAAATTACTACACCACCACACACACGCCCTTTCTTCCCTTTTCTAAATCCTTGGATTCAACGATAAAATCATTCCTGTCCCTCTTAATAATCCCTATAATTTTTCCTCTAACATTATAGTAGACTTTTGTTACCGCATAACTTAAAAAATATCAAGATTAACCAACTTCTAAGAAGATTACACAATAGATCTTTCTATAAGAAGATTATTTAACCAATACATCCAGATACAGCTCAGAAGGGAGTCGTGTCCTTACCTGCGCAAGCTTCAGATTCTATAGAGGCTTTGATAGTCAAGTGAGTCTATCCTGAGCACTCGGCCAGTATGTTTCATATTCTAGTCTTTTATTCCTAGGCCAAAACCAGAAATGGCCGTCAAATGTGAAGCGAGTACTGACTTCAACAGAATTTTCCGGCAGTCAAACAAGCTGGTGCACTTATCTCTACACCTGACCTTTCCCATTAGTGGTGTGTCTTAAGAGGCCTTCTCAAGAACCTTTGGAAACAGTTCGCAACCTCTCACTCGTGCGGTATTTCTACAGCCAGCGCCCCGTGGAACATGCGATTGCAAGCCAAGGACGAGGACGTCTCAACAAGGATCAACGAGTTCGAAGGAACCAAATGACTCACGGATGCGAGAAGTTTTCACTGAATCTATGAGGTCTAGATCTGTCTATCACATGACCCCGCGCAGAACCTGGTCGAGCCTCTCAGGTTTGAGTCTACTTCTGAAATTAAAGTGGGTGCTACTTCCGCAACCCGACCCGAAAACAGCCCTACCCATGATCTTACGATAACATGAACTAATGTTCAATTATTAAACCTTATAGAAGAATATGGTACATTGTGAGTTACTTGTGAATACAACTATGGGCTGTTGCAGTTATGAAAGTACGGTAGGGTCTCATGATATGCAGTTCGCACGGACCACGGGTCTACAACCACGGTTCAAAAACGCCGAGACAGATTAAGTAAATCTTCCCAAAATCTTACTGCTGTGGATTTGATCAATGAGGATTAGTATAGCCCCGGTAAGGTCTAGCCTTAGACTGAGTTTGGGTGGCTGTGATCGTCCCCGATCTCCCGCTGGTATAGTTCTGGGCCTTTAAGCCTTCTTGACGTCCACAAATAAAATTGGTATGGACGCTTACCAGTCTGTCGGATGCTAAATACGGCCATCCAAGTCCTTGGCAGTAAAGAATCGCTGGCGTGAACGATGTTCTAGAGTACTTTCCAACAGTATTTTTGGATCGTCATAGCTTGTCTTATGACAGTGCCAAGGGGCTAGTTGAATTGCATATCTGCCCAACAAAAACCGCCAAGTATACGTGTGTATCTCGTACCGTGGGCTTGTATGTGACTTGCACCAAACTCTCCCTTCTTTGTGACATTACCTTAGAATTAGTTCTGGTTTGCTATTATGATAAATGAGCTAAGAGTTTCATGATGGTCTACGTCATCCTAACCCTGGGTGGTTTTCATGTCTAGGTGTTGTCTAGACTTCCTTGATCATATCGTAGAATTGCCGAGGTGGAATACCCTAAGGTATATAAAAGGGATCATGTATCTATCCTGATAGACACTGCTACCAGTTGCGTACAGACCACACAACTAACGCTCTTCCTCCATCATTTTTCTAGTGTGCACAGTTGAAAGGATGAAGGCCACATTTCTTACCTTGCTTGTTCTCTTTGTCGGCCTAGTTGTTGCATCACCGATGTTCCAAGGCGATGATAATGAGAATGTTGAAGGTAATTCCATAGACTTCAATAAACAGATGATATTATAACATGTTCTAAGTTTCTGAGAAAGGACAGTGCGACTGGACAGACCCGGGCTGCGAAGCCTGGGATCCAATCAGTTGCACCTGCCAGGGCGAGGGCTACATTTCCCAGAGCGAACCCTGGGATGACTCTCCAGATATGAGCGGCGAGAAACTTAGCAGCCGCCAGGTAAAGATCCGAACACGGTCGACGAAAGCCGTCAAAGGCTTCTACAGCGGCAAAGTGAAAGGAAATTGGGTCGCAGTGGATAACGATGCTTATCAGAAAGCCAAGCAGGCAGTTCTGAAACAACTATCTTCGGACCCACTGGTTTCCTTCGGGCAAGTTGATGATTTATCAAAGAAATTCAGAGCCAAAGGTCAGTCGTGGAGGTGGACTGGCAAAGTTGACAAGAAGAAGCTTTCGGAGCAGGCCCACACAGACCATGGGCCTTTCGGTCAGTTCAAGAATTGGCAGGGAACTAGGTTCTATGACTTCACCTTTTATTTCAGGGTGACTTGAATGGTTGTTGAGAGACCAGAGTCAACAGTGGGTGCAGTCGATCAGCAGGAAAAGTGTTTTTATATGTAGTTCGTTGTAACTTTGGGATTTATGCTGTATAATTAATAACGCTGTATCTGAGATATTAACTATTGTCCGCTTATAAGACCAGTAGCCTGAGTAATTCCTTATGAGACCGTGGCAAGACACAAATTTACTACGAAGTTAGAACAGCTAGTTGCCAAAGGGTTTTTCAAGAAGCTCAATCAAACTAATAGATACAAAAAAAAACTTACAATAGGAGGGATTCGCCGGTGGTCATCCAGCCAAATATTAACCTTCTGGTATGTGGCTTAAGTGCAGTCAGTACTCAGGATGGATATCAGTGGGCTTTTCCGACCACCCACCGCCGTCTTAAGGTTCACCTATATTCTTGATTTCGAAACTATAGTATTCCTCTATTGATGTGCGATAAAGAAAATGCCGCGGAAAACAGCTTCCAAGAATACTCGATAATAGGGGGGCTTATACCTCTAAACTGTTACTATTTTGTCAATACTTATTTGTCTTTTCTTTTCTCTTAGTGATAGGTACAAATCCGCTATATCCACCTCCATTTATCTGCCTTATCGTTCCCGGCCAGTGATGCACAAATAAATTGGCGCCGGGGCTAGCGGGCCTGGATTCCTTGATGACCGTCTTTCTTTTCCAGTACTGGTTCCGATGTTGGTAATTTCTTTTGGGTTTCGTGAAAGCTTTTGCTTGACAAACACGATCATTCGTGTAAATTACTTCGTGCTTGGGCCGGATTATATATCCGGTACCAGGGGTCACAGAGCTCCGCCAAAGGAGAGTCTTCAGCCTCCCAGAAAGAAATCAAAGAAAAAAACAAGAAAAGAAAGGAGAAGAAAAGAAAAGAAAAAGAAAATAGGAGAAAGGAAAAAGGTAAAAAAAAGGGGGCGGGGAGAAAACAGAGAGAAAGGAAGATGGCAGAAGGAAATTAACTGCTCGACAGGGAAATGAAATTTTGTAATCCCTGCACAAGGCTGAACCGGGCGGTGTTAGGGCACAGGCTTTAGAAGCTCAGCCTCACAGCCATTCTGTTAT